TTAAGGCGGGAAGCGCTTCAAAGCGCTCTGAGCAAGTAAGATTCTATGCCGACAACAAGACACAATTCACGTACAGTTAAGGCGGGAAGCACTGGAAAATCTCAATCTTACCATCCTTGAATGGCCGACCCATCTATCAGATGTATGGGTCAGTCGATCATAATTGGACTTGTGAGCCAATCATAAGCATATTTTATAGGTTGTGGAGCTTCTCCACCCTCTAATTGAAACGACAAAAATCCGACCACAAATTAAGACGAAATTTTCATTTACTCGCCCCGTAATCCGTTACGTCTCGGTATAACGCTACATATATATAAATACGGCGTTTTCTTTTCTGATTTCTTATTTATTTATTTCGTTTTTTTTTTTTTTTTTTCGAATTCTCATTGCAGTTAAAGTGTGCGAGAAGCGGCAAATTTTGCGAGAACACAAGCAAGAGTATATACGTCGCGAACGTGAAGTTATGCATATGATGACAAATGTACCGGGTTTTGTGAATTTGTCTTGTACATTTCAAGATATACGTTCTTTATATTTTGTTATGACTTACGCCAAAAATGGTGATTTGCTGCCGTATATAAACAAAGTTGGTTCCTTCGATATCGACTGTACACGTCATTATGCTGCCGAATTAGTATTAGCCTGCGAACAAATGCATCGTCGCAATGTTGTGCATCGTGACTTGAAACCGGAGAATATTTTATTGGACGAGGATATGCATAGTTTAATAGCGGATTTTGGTTCGGCGAAGATAATGACGGCCGAGGAGAGATCGGCCGCGAATAGCTTTTTGTTAAGTGGCGGTATCGATTTAACCAAACAACTGCGCAGTCAATCCGGCAGCAGTGACGGCGGTGGCGATGAGGAATTCATTGAAGAGGATGAAGATGAAGTTGATAGTACCGGTTCCTCGAACGATACGACAAGTGGCGATGATGTCGATTCGCCACGATCGCGTCATTATTTACCCCGTTATCATCGCAAACGTAAAGGCAGTTTTGTGGGTACGGCTCAATATGTATCACCGGAAGTTTTACAAAATGCACCCATAACACCCGCCGCCGATTTATGGGCCTTGGGTTGCATTATATATCAAATGATGTCCGGTTTGCCACCGTTTCGCGGCAATAATGACTACGTTATTTTTAAAGAGATCATAGCCTGTAACTTGGATTTTCCACAAGGTTTCGATAAAGATGCCGAAGATCTAGTCAAAAAATTGTTACGCTCTAATCCAGCAGAACGGTTAGGAGCCCAAGACACACATGGTCATTACGAAAGCATACGGAATCATCCTTTCTTCCAAAGCGTCAATTTTGAGACCGTACGGCAGCAAACACCGCCACCTATTTCTCCCTATTTACCCGATCTGAATAAGGAGGAGGAATTTCGTGTTTACGAGCATTTGGAACCCGGTCTAGATGATAAACAGTTGACACGTTTATTAGGCATGGAGTTAGGCTGTGTTAGCGACGATGATCTAGAGAAAACCAAAAAGACTGTTAACAATGCAATTAATAAAACCTGCAATCACAGGGCGGATGCAGCGACAACTCAGCAAAACAAAGCGAGAGCATCATCAAAAAGTATACAAAAAAAAAAAAGAAAAAGAAAACATTACTATATATATATATCATATATGAAATTCATATCGCAATTTGGACGTTCAATTTTCTTTGCAGATTCTTTTGATTTGTCGGATTCCGAAAAATTTAAACGTCTAGAACAACAAAAATTGGATAAATGGCATCCGTTCGCTGACGGTGAAGTTATACTAAAAAAGGGTTTCGTTAATAAACGCAAGGGTTTATTTCCTCGCCGGCGTATGCTTTTATTGACTACAGGACCGCGTCTGATTTATATTGATCCTGTTCAAATGATTAAAAAAGGCGAAATACCCTGGACGCCCGAATTGAGAGCTGAAGCCAAAAATTTTAAAATCTTCTTCGTGCACACGGTAAGTAGAATTTTTCCATTCTACATTTTCAAATGTCGATATCTTTTCGATAATAAGAGAAAATATATATATATTGGTTTTCCGGTTCGTGTCGAATAATTTTATACCCATTTCAAAAAAGCTATATATACTCGATTTGCCAGATATTCGTAACGAGTAGAATAAAATATGATTAAAAAATGACCAAATTCTTGATTACGCACGCACTACATTACCCAAGTCTGTCCTTCTACGGATGGCAAATTCATTCAATCATTAGCATCTCAAAAGAATACCAAACATTTATTTCATCCAAAAATCAATTAGCTTGAGGTCACTGCAGTTATCGGGAAAAAAGTCATAAAATTATCACTTTTCCCTAAGAGATCGGAACAAAATTACATTGAATAAAAGTTACATTGATCAATTTGCGTATTGATTGGATCGGCGCTTGGGAAAAAGAAGAGGAAAAACAATGCATTAAAAAGTCGAACTGGTCTTAGTCTATACATCGCATAAATATATGATGGCCGACGTGCTTACGCACAATGCAATCCACACAAACCGAATTATCGATTGTACGCAAACCTACTAATCTCTAATGATGGATATAAGCCGAATTTAACAATTAACTTCTTTGTTTCTTTTAGTAGTGTTGTTAATGTTTTTAGCAAAAAAAAAAAAAAAAAAACCAAAACAACAAAGGTCTCCATCGATAGGTTTACATTATAAAAAATTGAACGATTATCTTATGAATATCTCTGTGCTAAATATAATGTACAAAAGGTTATCAAAATGTCATTGACAAAACATTCACACATCATACTAAATTTGTTACTGATCTTTGCAACTATGAGAAGACTTTGAACATCTTTGAACTTTTACGATATATATAATAAAATGAAAAGCATTCAATCTGGTCGACAAATTGATCAATTGTAAGGAACTAATTTTATGAATTGTGAACAAAAAACTATCTGCGCGAGACATTGTACCTCGTAATAGATTCTTCGAAAAGATATTAATTGTCCGTCCGTCTTTTTTCGTGCTTTTCGTCATGTAATCAAGCTGGTCGACCAATTGACGAATTGTAAGAAAATTATTTTGTCAATCGAACAAAGCCATCTACGCGAGACATTTTACCTGATAATGGAGTCTTCTAAAGACAATTTATTGTCCGTCTGCCTTTTTTTATTGCCTTTCGTCCTGCAACCTGATCGATTAATTGGCGAATTGTAAGAAAATTATTTTGTGAATTGTGAACAAAGCCATCTAGACGTGACAAAGTCCCTAATAATAGAGTTTTTTTGTCAAGCAATCTGATCAACTAATTGACAAATTTTAAGGAACTAATTTTGTGAATTGTGAACAAAGCTGTCTAGACGAGACATTATCCCTGGTACTAGGTTCTTCGAAAAGATATTTATTGTCTGTCCGTCTTTTCCCATGCTTTTTGTTAAGACTTTTTTGTTGTTGTTTTTTTAAGTTTAAACTTGAAAATGTACAAAGAGCTGAGAGAGTCCTTTATAAAAATCCAAGCAAAAGATTTTTTAGAAATTAGGATAAAAAAGACGTTCACAAATTAGCTCCGACGAATAGGGGCAACGAATGATCATGTTTTACCAATACGACAAAAAAAAAAAAAAAACGTTTCAACTCACTTTCATTACTTTTTTGTGAAATGTTATGAATTTTTAAATATGTTTCTACGGAGAGTTATAAGAAGAAACGTTTATTTTGTTTTTTTTTTACATCACTAACAATTTTAATTACTTAATAGTTATGGCCTTGATTACTTTTTCTAAGTTCGTTAGCTTGTAAAATATTCTTTACGTTTTATTTACTGTATTCCCGATATTTTTCTAAAGAAATATACGCCATAATTTCGTCTTCTTCTTCTTCTTCGGGGGGGGGGGGGGGGGGGGGGGGGGGGGGGGGGGGGGGGG